CTATCTAATCAGACTGGAAAAGTGCCCCAATGTAACTAATTTTACAAAATAAAATTTAAAAACTAGCCTAAAAATTGACTCATTCAACACTGTTAAATACTGACAGCTTCCAAAAGTAGGACAACCATTTATAAACACTTGCCTTGGTTGATGTCTTAAGTTAGGAAAGGTGGGGTAGTTGTATCTGAAAATATTCTAATTATTTTACCAGCAATTATATTTTTGTATAACATCTGAAAGTTTATTGTCATTGGCAGGGAAAATTAAGAAATCAAAGAAGATAAAATTTTATAAATATTTGTTTTACACTAGTATTTTGAAATAAATATTTTTATAGTGTTACTAAATGTTTTCAGTTTCAATGATCAGACTGTCGCAGATTCGAGGAGAAAGTTTGGTGGTGATGGGTGGGTATGTTTGACAGCCCTAAAATTCCAAGAGAGGGGCATGGGTTTACACATGTCTCTCTCTCCTGCCTGAATAATATCTGGAAAACTTCATCCTGCAGAAAAGATGCTTTTGTTAATTGCCTGAATATTTCAATCTTTACATAACTGACTGATCTCATAACTTAGTTCCCTATTTTTTTAACAGAACTCAATTTTCCTCTATCTGATGAATAAACTATTTGCTACTTGATAAGTCAATTCATTATCAATGAATGAATGAGTCCACTTGAAATAATTACATAATAGATACTAGTAAGTAGTTAAGATTGATAAGCAAAGTATCTTTCAATTCTCCATTTTGCTAGGTATCTAATTCTGCTGATCACATGGTACAGCTGCCTTCTCCAGACATGAGTTTATTTTATAGGGGTGGTTTATATTCCATGCCATTAACTCATCCTGGTGTTGTCGTTAAATCAGCTATACAGAAAATGAAGCAACGAGGATCCAGTTACTTACACTTTATGTCAAAGGTAAAATTAGTTTGAATATATTGTAGATTGTATATCAAAATATTTTTTCAATGGTCAAATCTCTCTTGCTTGATGCTATACTAAGAATAATCTTTTCAGAAATTATTTGATCTTCATTAGCTATATTTTAGAATTACCAAACTGTTATTGTATTGAGACTGTTACATTTGGTAAGTAACAGAGATATACAGTATTAATCCATTCATTATCATTGGTAATTTCATTGAATGTAAAGAAAAAAATTTAAAGCAAAAACAATAAGTTTTGATTTTAGTAATACTTATGTTACTCTTCTTACTGATGAAATTAAAAAGTTTTTCATCAGCATGTTGATTAGTTAGGTGATCTTTGCAACGTAAGTGAGACGTTGCATGATATAAATTGTGAAATAGCATTGTGTTTGTACTTGTCTCATTACAAACTCTAGAGAAAATAACATTTTAATTTTCTGGTTCTCGTACTAGCAACCAATAGTTTTTTATGTGGTTATTTGTTGTTAACAAAAAATAGTAGGGACAAAATGTTTGAATAACTGAGTATATATATATATATATATATATATGACATTGATAATTTTATCAGTGTTAAATACAATGTTTTGATATGCTGGTTTATCTTTTTGATATATAGGTAGAACAAGATGATAGCATTCCTTTTAAGTTATCCTTAGACATGAACAAGACGTTAGGTACTTGCTTGGAGGAAAAATCAAATTTAGCTCAACAGGTGAGAAATATATAGGAGATTGTATTCAGATTAGGAAATAGCAGTGTACATGTAATATTAATAAGAATTTGGAAAAGTATGGATGTCTGTTTTACCTCATTAATGTGATAGTGTAGATTATCTCACTAGAGCAAACATAAGTTTATTTATTATTATTATTTGTATAAAAAGTAAAATGTGCTAATTTTTATTTTATTAGCACTGTTTTATAGACATCATATAATTTGTCTAATGTTTCAAATCTTTTAAGTTGGAAATCTGGCATTATTGGTTATATAAAGTGATGTTTTGTTTTACTTAACACTCAGTCAAAGAGGCATTTTTGATGGGTCAATTCCCAAACAAAAGCTTTCTGCTCTCTTTTTTGTTTAATTTTGAATAGAGATTTAGACTGTTTCGGATATCTTCGGATTGTCTACTCGAGTGGTCGATTTCATGCTATTTACCAGGCTATGAGGTAGTAAAACCCATACCCTGATCGAAAATTCCACAAAACAAAACATGGTAGCAGCTGCACATGTTAACAGCATAATACAAGACCTGCTTTCTCAGCTCTATAAAACTGTTTTTTTTTCATGGTTTTCATATATTCTGTTGAAAGAGATAACCAAAGAAGGCTCATCAAAGCTTACTTGCTGCTGTAAGGTGGCTAAGTGTGATACCCACCTGAAGTGTACAACATCATGGACACTTATATTATACAAATAGCTAATTGTTTTTGTTGTATAAAAACAAACAAGGCAAATCAATCAATTTTCTGGCAGAGATAGCATATATATGGCTTTATGCCCCAAAACTCCAAATCAATCTCTTTTTCTTTTTTCTTTACCAAGTGAAAAGAACCTATGGTGAATCAACTGATTGAAGTGCTTTATTAACTGTACTTATCAAAGCAACAGGTGTTCCTGAGGAGCTTTTAGCTCAGATAGAATCAACTACTAAGAATAAGAATGAATAACCATTACCTCGCTTTGTTAACAACTTTAAAACTAATCTGTTTGAAATTATGGAGAACTTACAAATAATTAGATATTCTTTTTGTTTTAAGTAAAGTTGGAAGTTGCCAGTTGTTGATCACTGGTTTCAAGAGTAGATAGACTTCTCTAGGAAGGATTTTAAAGTATTGGTTGTTTGATGGGCTGTCATTACAGTTCAGTATCTTGTTTTATCATATGTGTAAGGTTTAGGTGCTCATTGATTCATTCTTCTAAACCCTACACAAGTTTCAAAACATACAGAAATGTAATGACTGCTCATAAAAACAACCAACTCTTCAAGGCCCTTCTCAGAGAACATAACGAGAGTGATCAACACTCATGGGAACAAGCATTTCCACAATTGCTAAAACTGTAAATTAACCTATTTTTGAAGTTATCTGTTTTTTTTCATAGCTTGAAGTAATCATCCATAAGTTGGATAGAAACAACACACCATCTCTTTAAAATTTTTACAAAAATAACCACTGACTAACAGTATGTATTTATTTCTTATCTCTTATTCTTATTTGTAAAGTGATGATAGCTTAAACATCATTTGGTTATATTATGCATAATATAAAAAGGTAAAAGATGCTGAACCCTTGTTAACAAAGAAAAGTATTTTTTTTTAAAGGTTTGATTCTATTCATTTGTGTTATTTCAGCTTGAGGCCCTGAAGAAAAGATCGCTGATATTGGAAGAGGTATTTTACATTTACTGTTTGACATACTAGATCAAATTAAAAAATAAACAAACTTGAAAGTGTTTCTAAAGTTTGAAAAAATTGTGAGCATGACATGAATGATGTTGAAAGCTCTGCAAGTGCTTGTTTTTTTTATTATTGTAAAATATTTATCTTGTTAGTTTTTGTTCCAAAATTGTTTCTTTGAGAATTCATTAGAACAAGTAAATTAACCTTGTAAAAGGTTGTCTCTCAAGAGTATGAATGTTAATGTATTCAAAATTATTTATAATTCAAATTCTTGTTGAAATTCAGCTAAATGAGTATGAAAAATAATAATAATACAGGTACCTGATCAGGAATCAGGAATGCTTGGGAACGAGCAATGCCAGATTTCAGAATTTTCCAGTTTTGAGATCATTCTGCCTGGCATGTACAGATGATATAAATAAAATATGAAATACATAAGTAAAGGTTATTATTTGCTTGCCTTTTGGACATTTGCATGATAAACAAAGGAATAGAAATTCAAGTTAACGCAGAGAGAGGGCTGCACGACCAAAGGGCAGGTTTGAACTGAGTCCGTGTGTACTGCATCAATTTGCCACGCCACCCGAACAAAGCAGCTTTGCCTAAATTAAGCCTAAAAGAATTTTTTAGTTATTTGTATTTACCTATTTGTACAGTAATTTTTAGTGGAGTTTTCAGTAATTTCAAATCAGAAGTGTGCATCAGCAACCAGAAAAAAGTCCAGGTATAAGGAGTTTCTCCATGTTAATGGAGTATTCACCAGAATAGCCAGTTTTCAGATTGCCTTAATTGAGATTGTGTACCTGTAAATTAAAACTATAAAGTGTAATGTGATGAATATATATAGCTCCAGTGTGGAAAGTGTAAACATAGTTGATCAAGCCATTACACAATGATGTGAAGAGTAGTATCATGCACGTGGAATGTACGGTAACAAATCAAAAAATGGTTTTGTTACAATTGTGTTTAAGTCAGTCAAACCCTCCCTGCATGGAAACTCCATAAAAACAAAAATATAAAGTAAATAGTCTAAATAATTCTACAAATTTGGTCAGATTGTGCCATCAAATACAGGAGTTAGTGGTCTTTTGATTTATTTGAGTAATTTCATTATTTTTGTTTAAAAAATTATTAGATAGCTTTATTTTTGATTTGAGATTATTCAAATTTCATAAGTGTCCTAATGATTAACGTTTTATTCAACAAACATCACGACCAGCCTAGGTGATGGAAGTTTAAACTTATTTCTACTTGTTCCAATGCCCAGTGTTAATAGCATTATGTAGTTTAACAAAATCACTAACTTTTATAGTGCAAATGAAGTAAATTCTGCATCTTTTAAATATACTTGATATTTTATTATTTTTGCAATACTGAAAACATTCACTTACTGGAGTTGATTAGAATTATTTAATAGAATCCACAATATATTGCTCAGATTTGTATAAATGATTGATTCCTAGGCATAAAATGTAGTACAGATAGAGCTAAGTTTGTAAGCTCAATATTTTACTTCCTTTACGCTCCATGCTCTTAATAGCACCAAGTTTACATTCCAGAAGTGCTTCTAAGTTTGCTTCATGGCAAGTCTGAAAATTGTAGGTTGTATAGAATCTACATGTTATTTCTTATTATTTTTATACAATAATATGCAGAAGTATTAGGCAATCTGACTTTTTGAATTTTTATCATATATAATATTTTTCATTCTTTCTTATGTTTTATTGATTTCTTTTTTAAAGTTTTAAATATAGTTGTTATCGTATTCAGTGTTTTTTCATGTCATGACAAAATAACTCTGTAGGTTGCTATTCAAATGTGCAATTTTGGGGCATTTGGGTACGTTAGTCCAACATTTTCATGTAAATTTCTTATTACAGGAAAAAGAACAATGGATGCTAGAGTGCCAGTTACTTCAGGCCAGAGCAGCAAAAGGAAATGATAAGGTGAGAAAATCCTGGTGTTAGAGTTTTGTTGCTCTGTGTGAAAATCTGCTGTAATAATAAAAAAAAAAGTCTTCATGTTCACTTGGTATCGAAGTCTTACTTCAATTTAGTTTATTTAACATGTAATCAGGTGCTTTCTAATCATGTTTATAATTGATGTTTAAAATATGTATGACATATGAATGTGAATCAATAAGTTGGTGTTAGTAACATATTAGTTAAGGTGATGAAAAGGTTTTTTCAGTCATGGAAAAATAGCATTTTCTTTGAAATTAAAATGATGTTATCAATTTATGCTGTGAGTGTTGGTCAGAAGGTTGCTTTAGTCGTATATTATAGGATTTGTACTCAACTGGGAATTTGTTGAAAGTCATGGAAAAATAGCATTTTTTTAAAACCTAAACAAATATGGTCATAAGAATATCTCTAATTATGTGTAATCTATTTAAAAAATCAAGCCTTATATTTGGTATGTATTATCCTTGTACTGTTTGTGGATTGCCTTGTCGTATGCATGAAAGTTGTACAGAATGTTTAGTCTCTGTAAAGTCATTTGATATAACAAATGCAGCAGTGAAGAGCATTGGGAGCTTGCTGTAAAACAACTTGTCAATATTGAATACAGAACTTATGATAAATAAGATTCATTGAGTAGAAAAAATTTAACTGTATGTATCTATCATATAACTACAAAACAATTGGTATTAATATATACACCTGGAAAAAAGTTAAGCACCCCCGTGTTTTTTTCAAGTGATTCAGATTCGACGTTCTTGTGACTGATTATAAATTACCATTCAATCTAAACGTGTTTATCAAAATGAAATTATGCATTATTGGGCACAAGAAAACAAGATTATCACCGTAAAATAACAATTTTTAACTTACATATCATGACATCAAAATATGGACAGTTTTCACGCTTAAAATTATCTTTAATAAGTATTGTCAGTGAAAGCTCAAAAACGTTATTGAATTGTCAAATTACATTACAAAATGTTAAT